GTGAAAATTTCTTGATATATATATATATATATATATATATATATATATATATATATATATATATATCTATTCAAGCATGTTTATTAAATAATATACACATATTATGTCCATTCATTTTATAATAATCCCTTCTAGTTCTGTAATTATCTTTTTGACGTTAAGTTGTAATTTATCAAGGAAGTCATCGTAGGTGTCAATTGCGAACACAAACTTAATGTCACTGTTTTTGTTGTGATGCTGTTTTTGAAAACACCCGCTCTGCTATAATTAGTTTAAAATTAACAGTTGTATTTAAGATAGTTTGTAAACAGGCGTTTTAAAATGTTGTTAAATATTTAGTAAACAAATGCATTTACAAACATTGCTATTATACATATACATACATTATACATATAATAAATATTGTTCAGTGTTAGTTGGTTACTTTTGATATAAAAGGCCTGAAGAATTTGAAGTTTTTGTTTATTATTTTCGTGGCGTAGTGAATTGGCTTTGTCAATAAGTATTTTGCTGTATTGTGAATGTGGACAGAAATGTGTCATTAAATGTTCTGAGATAGAACTTGTATCCAAAAAATGCAGTGTAAGACGTCTTGATAATGTTGTCGTTGTCAAACCAACATATTTACTTACTTTTCTGTCACATATACAATTAATCTGATATACCATGAGGGACTTTTGCAAAACTATAGTTGACGGCGAAGAGTTATTGCGTATGATTAAGTTTGTTGTGTTAAATTTAGTATAGTATATAGTTTTGTTTATTTTTACTGGGATCAGTGGGTAATATATTAGTATTTATAAGATTTTGTAAGAGTTTTGTCATCTTGTTTATAGTTAGAATGCATTTAATTACTATATAGTATGCTGATATTTGCTTTTGTTGGTCACTGTAGGTATTTATATTCAAGATCTAAAGATGAATATGAGACAAGAATTTAGAATTTGAGATTTTTATTTCCTGGTATCTGCATTTTGTCGTATTACCCAACTTCGGACATACCACCTTTTGCTTGAACGCAGCCATTTCTCAAGTGAACAAAACTACTGGAACACGTGATTGACATGCGTTTCTTGTTGCCCAGTTGTTGTCTTTTAGTTTTACTATTTAAAATTAAATATCTCTGAATGACTATACATGGTTTTAGCCTTGGTTTCATCTGTAAAGATTCATTTCTTGTTAAAAATGAGTGTGATCCTTGAGTTTCTTTTTACAAACGTCATCTGTAGAAACTGTCATAAGGTTATTTCTGGCCTTAGGTCTCTGCTTGATGCTAGAAAAGAAATGAGTATACAACTAAAAACCCCGTGGAATACTACTACTACTACTACTACTAATAATAATAATAATAATGAGGAGGTGTAGTTCTGTTCATAAGCATGCGTAATAGGGAATACTAATGACCGAGAATCTAATGGGTTGTTTTGTTAAATTAGATGGACAACAATAAATATACAGTCCCTTTTAAAATATTGAAACGAATTCCTTTGCTTTTGTTCTTCATTGAAGGCATTTAAATTTATGATAAAAAGATGAATATGAGAAAACTATTCAGAATTTGAGATTTTATTTCCTGGTATGTACATTTTGACATGTTACACAACTTAGGACATACCACCTTTTATTTGAACTCATTGATTTTTCAAGTGAACAAAACTATTGGAACACGTGACTGACAGGTGTTTCTTATTGGCTAGTTGTTGTCTTTTAGAATTATTATTTAAACATTAAATAGCTCTGAATGACTACACATGGTTTTAGCCTTGGTTTCACATGTAATGACACATTTCTTGTTAAAACGGATAAACCAATATAAAGGCAAGACAGCTGTCTAGGAGAGAAAAGCCATTTTGAATCTGTGAAAAGAAGGAAAAAATTGAGGAGAATCATCTGACAAACATTGGGTATGGCCAGCATATCGATTTGGAACCTCCTGAAAAAGACGGAAACTACTGGTGTAATGAACAACAGACATAGAACAGGTCGACAAAAGAAAACAAGAGCAGTTGATAACAGAAATATTGGAAGAGATATAAGGACAAATCCAAAAACAACTGACAGTGACATCGCCAACAGTCTCAACGGTGATGGATAAAAGTCTCAGAATTCATAGTTCCAAGGAGACTTTGAGACCAGAAATACAGAGGCCATGTCACAAGAGGTAAACCACTTATCAGCAGTAAGAATTGGAAGGCTAGATTGTAATTTATAAGGAAGTAGAGTGATGAGACTCCTATTCATCTTTTGATCTTAAACCTAAACAACTACAGTGAACAACAAAAACAAAGGAATTCGCCTTGCCGTTCTAATATTTTAAAAGAGACTGTATATTTATTGTCATCCATCTAATTTATCAAAACAACGCATTAGATTCTCGCCCATTAGGATTCCCTATGAACAGAGATGAACTTTCTTCTTCTTCTTCTTCTTCTTCTTCTTCTTATTATTATTATTATTATTATTATTATTATTATTATTATTATTTTCTTTGATTTCTAGC